CGCACACACACTCTTCGCCCACCCTCCGCCTCTTTATCCCCCCACATCACCCACTATCCACCTCTCTCTCATTCCACCCACCCACTACCCACCCCTATCTCTCTTTCTCTCGTTCCACCCACCCCTCTCTCTCTTTCTCTCGTTCCACCCACCTACTACCTACCCCTCTCTCTCTTTCTCTCGTTCCACCCACCCACTATTCTCTCTCTTTTTCTTGTTCCACCCACCCACTACCTACCCTCTCTTTCTCTCGTTCCACCCACCCACTAACCCTCCCCCCTCTCTTTCTCTCGTTCCACCCACCAACTAACCCCCCCCTTCTTTCTCTCATTCCAGCCCTCCACCACAACAACTGCATGTACGTGGCCCACCACTTTCTGACCCTTGCCCACCAGTTCGCCCCACGACTGCCCGCCACCATAGTGCCCACCTTCGTGGATCTGATTCACCCGATCAGACAGAGTGGTTGTGAGGCCTTTCGGCGCCAGCTCTCTCACCAGAGGGCACTCCTGTTAGAGTCATTAGATGGAGCTGAAGGTAATCAAAAAGCACTTGTTCCACGCGCTCGTATGCCCTTATCAAGTTTCGAGCGTCGTAAAACTCTTACCATACTAATACCCATAACTGTGCCTGAACTGTAACTTGTAACTGCTGCTTTTTCTTTCCTAATCCTTACTATCGTCATTTTCCTCTACTTCTTTTCTATGTTTGTCACACTCTTGTGGCCCGCTATTTCCGGGATGCCCTGATAGTCGAAGCAGACTTTGTGCTATTGAAGCTAGAGAGGTGAGCAGAGTAAGCCTGATTCCCTGTAAGGACTTCTCTGTTGACATCCTCCCCTTGGCGCTCCTATGACCTTATGCAGTTGCAGACGCCGTAAAACTTCTACTAAAACTAAACGCTAAAACTTACTATACTAATCAGAAAACGCTGTATTTTTGTTTGTCTAATTACTAAAAGTTTAGAGAGCGGAGGGTGTGTGCCACAAGTAGATCCTACTTCTTTTCTTTCTGTCTGTTAATCCTGTCTGTCTGTTTTGCTCTTTCCCCTCACTAAATGACAGTTGTTGTGTCGGTGTTGATGTGCTTCTCTCTACCTAAACATTACAATGTCCAGTTTGTCTAGTATGTCATTGTTTGTTTCTCTGGTGTGTCTCTGTCTGTCTGCTTGTCACCACTTGTCTGTCTGCTTGTCACCACTTGTCTGTCTGTATGCCTGATGTGTCACCATACTGCGACCTCGGTGCTTTTTTGTCATATCTCCATTTTTAATAACAGTGAAAACAGTTTGTAGCATAGAGTGAGCTTAAGAAGAAGTCACATTTTTACTGTTTAAAATAATGAAAATACAAGAAAGCACTGAGGTCATGATAGGTCTGTCTGTCTGATGTGTTACCATTTCCTAGTCTGATGTGTCACCATTTGTCTGTCGTGTCTGGTGTGGCACTATTTGTCCGTTTTTCTATCTAGTGTGTCGCCATTAATTGTCTGTTTGTCTGATGTGTCACAGTTTGTCTGTCTGTTTAGTGTGTCACCATAATTTGTCAGTCAAACTGACGTGTTACTGTCGAACATTGTTGAACATTTTTCCAGTCATCTACTTATAACCATGGTGTACCAGCGTCTGTGCTGTAGTGGCCAGGCTCTTTGATGAGGACATTAAAATATAGACTTCAATCAATCCTGTTATCATAACCATGTTGTGTTCAATGGATGAAGACATAAAACATTTGCAATCAATCAATCAATCGTGGGTGGTTGGCGGGTCCTTTGGTGTGGTTTGCTTCTTCTTTCTTTCAAACATCTGTCGTCCTTATCTTCCCTTCTTGTTTTTTATGTTTGTTACTCTCTTGTAACACCTCTAATCTTCTGGCGCTCATATGACCTTATGCAGTTGTGAGCACTGTAAAACCTCTACTAAAACTTAAAAAATCAATCAATTAGTCTATCAATCAATCAATCAATCAATCAATCAATCAATGTGAAAATGAATCAATCAATCAGTCAGTCTCACTACCATAACTGTGATGTGTTTCATCAACATCTCAGGTTTCGCCAATGTGGAGGAGGCGGCCAATAGGGAGCAGAGCGAGCGAGCCATCAAGCAGGTGTTGTTGCAGCTAGAGCACTTACAGAAAGTCTGGAAACCTGTGCTGCCCATCGATGTCTACAAGAAGTCTATGGGTGAGTGGGAGAGGGAGAAAGAGAGGGGGAAGGGAGGAAGGGGATGGGGGAGCGGAAAGGGATGGAAGGAGGGGGGAAGGTGTTGAAGTGCATGATGGTTTGGAAATTTGTGCTGCCCATTAATGTTTACAAAATATTTTTATGTGAATAGGAGAGGGAAGGGGGGGGGATGAATGGTGGGAGGGGTGGATAGGTTGAATGAAAGGAGAAGGGGGGGGTGTGAGGAAGAGGTCTGGTGTGGAAACCCATTTAGGGGGGAGAGGGTGGGGGGTTGAGGGAGAAAGGAAAAGGAGGGTGGAACAAAAGTCTGGAAGTCTGTCCATGGTTTCAGTGCCCATAATCTTCTCTGAGGGTGGTTGACAGATGCTCTGGTGTGGTTTGCTCCTTCTTAACTATCAAACAGGTAGACTATCATCCTTTTCTCTTCTTAATTCTTTTTGTTGGAAGGTCTCTAATCTTGGGTAATTATATGACCAATTTGTTTAACAAGTGCCTCGAAGCTTACAAGGTGGGTGGCTGGCGGGTGCTCTGGTGTGGTTTGCTCCTTCTTTCCTATAAAAATCTATCGTCTCTATCTCCCCTCCTTCTTTTTTGTGTTTGTTACTCTCTTGTAATACCTCTAATCTTCGGCACTTATATGACATTACTGTGTTTTGAAAGTGCCTTAAAACTCTTGCTATAACTAAACTGAACTTATTAAAACTTAATATAACCTCTCAGTGTCCGTGACCTTCTCCCACAGGCAAGCTGACTAGCGCGGTAGTGGAGCGGATCACCGACTGCGTCTCTCTGCTGGAGGACATCGCGCAGGAAGCTGGCCAGGTCCTCCTGGCACTTCTCAGCCCGCTGGAGGAAGAGGCTGGCCGCTTTCTCACGTCCCCAGGCGAGGTTCCCGCCGCGGAACTCCTACGCTTTGTGCCAGGTTGGCCGCGCCTCTCGGAGCTGAAGGTGGTGCTGGAGGCGAGTCTTCAGGATATCTCAGACCGCTGGGCGGAGGGGAAGGGCCCGCTGGCTCTGGCTTACTCTCCCAACGAGGTCAAACAGATGATCAGGGCGTTGTTTCAGAATACCAGTAGGAGGTCGGCTGTGTTGGCTTCTATTAGGTGATGTGCTGCTCACAGCGATGGAGTGGGGGGTGGGGGGTTATTTGGCAGAACAGTGTACGGCTGTGAGTGATTGGGGGAAGGGTTGGTGTGGATGTGAGAGGGGAAGAGTTGTTGCGGACGTGGGGGGGGGGGGCACACTTGGGTGACTGACAGTAGAGTTGTGGTGGTGGTTGGGAGTTGAGGGAAACAGACTTCATCAGATTCTGATGATGTGGTGTACTGAGTGTTACTGAGAATGGTTTTGATATTTGATATGTAGAAAGTTGAACAATGGACTCAATCCTGAGATGATGGAGACCCTTTTTAGTTAGGAAGAATGGAAAACCTATCAAAGTGCAGTATCTTCGTAAAGTTTTAGCACATTACACCCTTAGGGTCTGAACGGGAAGTCTATTCCCAAACTCTATGCAAGGGGAGGTAAATCACCTCCCATGAGTACACATACAGTATAATCTGCTTCTATGGACATGCTTTGGGAAGTGGATTTGATGTCGATATAATATATAAAAATGTCGATAAAGGAAAATATAAAGCTAAGAAGGAAAAAACAAGGAGAGGTCAGGGGGTAAAAAGACAACACTACTTTTTTAAGCTCGTTGCTTCCCTTGATTCTTACACAACTAACTGCACAAAGAAACTAACAATAGACAGTGGGGGGGGGGGCAGTTACAGTACCAAAGATGAGGCGCATGCTACACACCAGCGCAAACTTTGTTGCAGCAACCTTGTAAGGCCTGTTTGTGGCCGCTTGCTGGGTAAAATGGAAAGGCGAGACACTGACTCACTGACTGGCATTTGCCAGCGACAGACTGAGAATGGGATGGGGAAAAGGAATGAGCAATTGGGAGTGGGGGTAGGGAGGTGATGCACAGCGCGGGAGATGCTGGCGTCTGTGAGGCACTGTACTGTGTTGGAGACTACACTGTGTAGGCCCTACATGACCTACTAAAGCCTGGTGTGTCGAATAGGCTACTTAATGAAGAACTAATGTGTTGACCGTCAGCGTGGCTTTTTCCCCTCATTTATGTACGTGGGCATCACCAGATACTCAGGAAACATGTCCATAAAGCAGAGTGGGCCGAAAAAAAGTCGATATAAAAGAAATTGTTTAGTGAAGATATTGAAGAAAAAAATTTGGTAATTGGAAAATATGTCGATATGTCAAAATGTCGGTACATCAGCTGTCGATATAAGTGGATTATACTGTATTTTAACCACTGTCTTACCTGAGAAAATTGTAAAGATTGTATCTTTTATCTTCCCAGCGTAAGGGGAATGACTCTGAATTCTTGATGCGCTGCTTGTATCTAAAAATTCATAACCCAATTACCATGCTTTCAATTCTTTTGAAATAAAAGAATATTGAAGAGAAATGAACAGGCTTTCTTGTGATATGAAGCATGTTATGGTTTGTTGCATAGTGTTGAAAATAAAAAATAAATATATAACGTGAGGAAAAGTAGGAAAACTCACTTTGGGGGGGGGGGTTGGCATCTTCATTCCAAGAATCATGACAAATTAGTTCAAGGTATTGTGGAATTTTGCGAAACAGTTGATGACACAGACGGGTGTTGCACAGAGCACACCCAAAGACGGTCTCAGGTCTTTTATTGGATCTTGTCTGCACGTCTTTCTGATAGCACTGGTAGTATTGTCTCGTGTGCCCCGGCAGCTGAACCCTTCGATGTTCTTGCGCGGTGCCAGGAACAGCTAATCCAGCAGCATTTGGCACCTCCATAGCACTCCTCTTCCCTGAGGAGCCTTTCATTAAGCTCCGAGCAGTTTCCAGATGAAGCTGTATGTGAGTGCAGAGAGGGAGGGTCTGATCTGGGCGGATGTGGCATGCTCTTATATAACACATATGCGTTGAGCAGAGCGACTTCCTCAAGACACCAGAAGCAGCACCACCACCTTTTATGAGATCGTCTTCCAATACGGTAGTAGCATGAACGGAGTTGATCGTTATGATCTTCAACCCCTCCCATGTTTCCATTGTAGTTAGTTCAGTACTGCTTGTGGTATCTGCCTGTGGACAACACCCTGTTTTGTCTGATCAGGCGCTGGTTCCTAGTTCCAAAATAGGACATGCGTTGGTGGAGAGCATAGAGATGGGACATTTGTCTTTCCACCACCATGTCACTAAAGCTCCCATTTTCCCTCATACTGCATTGGTCCTTTTCTATGTTCCCTCTTAAAATATCTGGCGAGTGTTTCTGGTTTTGCTGAACTGTTTCACATGAATATTGTGTTATGTTCCAGCAGATCTCAGGCGAGTTCGACAGAACTGAAAAATTTGTCGAAATTATAATGATAGTTCTTCCTCAGAAATGGCTGTTCCAGTTTCCAAATAAAATAATAGTATTAATAGCCCAGTCCATTTGATACTGGAGTGTCCCACATCCCTGTGGAAAGTTCAAAGTCCAGCAAAAATGTAGTGGCTGAGTCGCAACAACACACCACAATGTGACTGATTGTGACTGACACCCCACGGGTTTGGCTAGCTCTTTGTGTATTGCTTGGAATTATTCTGCCTCCTTCAAATGAAACTGCAGACCCAGGGTTCAACAGAGAGATGCATGCAGATTTCACTTCCTTTATCACAGGTCTGATCTTGAATAAAGAATCATGTCATGGATGACCTTTTGCGATGACATTGTTGTTATCAGAGATGTGCAGGTACCGAGGAATTTCCTGAAGCCTATTCCGTGTCATCACATCAGGATCATCACATCAACTTAACGCAATTCTAGGATCCGAAACTCACATGTCAGCACAGGACAATTGGGAGAAATGTGAAGCCTGGTCTGACAGCTCTCTGGACCCAGAAGGCTGATCTTCAGGCAAAACAACAGAGCCGAGGTCAGTACGGGACCTTTGGGGTGAATTTGATGGAGCCTGGCCTGACAGCTCTCCAGATACAGTAGGTTGAACATCGGATATCGGATGCAATGAGGGGCCTTGATAGAGCGTCTGCTGGTGTGTAAGCATCCTCAGATATTGCTGCTGGTGTAGTGACTCTCCGAACGCTCAATTAACTCACAACACAGCCGCTGACTTGACCGTGACTTCGCACTGACCTGCGGAGTGCTCACATGAAAACGCCGCCTGACCCGACTGTCCTTCAGAGCCAGTCGAGTACATGTAGAAAATTCTGGTGAAAGTGAAAGACCTACCTACACTGGATTGCATGGGTATAAATACAATGTACTATTGGTCCTGAAGGGTTTTTGTACCATTTCTTCTGATCCAGGAATGTTAGAATAGAATGGCACATGCCTTATTCTACAGTAAGAGAAATGAGTGTTTATAATATGACTCTGCCTGGGTTTTCATTCATAAATTCAGGGCATGCTTCATTGCATTTTGCCTTGAAAGTGAAAGGCATGAACGCACTTGTCTCCTGAGATTGTTGTCGTGTGGTGTGGGGTGGGAGTGCACAAATGTGAATTCTTTCTTCCTTTCTTCTACTCATCATAAGAACACACTCCAACGACTTAATTTCACAAATCCCCAAAAAGGCACGACCCTGTGAAAATCTATGAAAGCAGTGCCAAGGGGTGTGTGCATGACCTTCGTGATAACGTATACCACGGTGTGTGCCGACGTACTAGTTAGACTTGAAAAAGAGGCGGTAAATGAACAGAGCATCAAATCAAGTTACTGCTAATATGAAGCACCACTGTAAGAACTGAATTCGGAAAAATGCTGTTTGATTGTTGCTACTTTAATTTGGTGCAACTCACACAAAGGTTATTTCGCTATTTATTTAATAGGGTAAGATCATCTGAGAGTGGGTCGCTCGTGTTCGGAATTGGGACGTTTTTTGGAATTTGGGCACTTACTCTTAGTTATATTCATCGCTATTTGACATTTGCTTGTTCTAGAGCTCAATTGTGCCACTTTTCAACTTGTCAAGACACCTTCGAAGTGTTGGAAACACAGTGGCACTTCAATCAGCTCTGAATGTTAAAACTACTGGCCCGAACAATTTAATTTTGATATCAAACGGAAGAAGAAACACTTTAGTAGAGTAACCATACAAAACGAAATCTGGGCCTCAGTCTCGTCAAGGTGAGACTCCATTTCTGAAGATGCCCGAGTGGGCGATTTCGGGCGGTTTAGGCATGTAGAGAAATTTCTAGGTGATCCCATGCGAGTTAGTGTGTAATGTGTTAATTAAATAAAGTTTGACCTTTTTTTTAACCCTGAAAATGTGATACATTGTACTTTTTATCTATTATGATTCTTCATGATAATAATATATGTTTTAATGTAGTGGTCGTGGGTTCAGTGTAAATTATGCTTATGTCACTAAAATTAGCTTTTGAAGCTGAACGCTTTTATATCTTTAATTGTTTTATGGTAGGCTCACATTTAATTTTTTATTTATAGTCTGATAGTTCTCAGGCAAAAAAGAAAAACGCTGCAGCAAAACGCTAGGGTCGAGATTGCCGTAGATAGTGGTTTGGTTCTCGTGTGTACTGGTTGTTTACATGATGCACATAAGCACTTCCACTCCCACGTGTGTATAATCTCTCCTTCTCCCATACATGCATCTTATACATACTGTTGCCTGTGGTGTTTTGTCTATTTAGACACACACACACACACACACACACACACACACACACACACACACACACACACACCTGCACACTTGCACATTCACACTCATACACACACACACACACTCATGCACACACACACAGGCACACACACACACACAGGCATACGCACCTGCACACGAATGCTAACTGGATATGATTTTCCACATACACATACACATTGACATACACGCATGTGCCCAAGCACTTGGACACATGCACGCATAGACACATGTGATGTAATCCCCCTTCCCCCCTTAACACCTGCGCACGCGCTCACCATAGACATACATAGATGAGTTTTGTCTATCGAAGTTTCCTCCTGTTCACAACAGACTTTGTACATTTATGTTAGTATGTGTTGCCTTATGATCGTTGTCTCTGGAGAAACACAATTTATAATAACGTGTTCCCAAGTGCTATGTAAATAAATGTTTGGTGGGTGGTTGACGGATGCTCTGGTGTCGTTTGCTGTTTGCTTCCTCTTTCCCATGCAACATCTATCGTCCTTATCTCCCCTTCTTCTTTTTTATGTTGTTACTCTCTTGTAACACCTGTAATCTTCTGGCACTCATATGACCTTATGCAATTGCGAGCGCCGTAAAACCTCTACTAAAACTAAACTACAATAAATGTTTTATGAAGCTGTCAACAGTTTAGATCATTTAGTTGTCAGGCTGCTTTGACCCTGCATGTATAGACCAATCCCTACTGCATGGTATATTATGTGTCCCTGTAGATGGAAGGAAGGCACAATTTTAAAACAATATATAAAATGTCTCTCACATATTATTGTGATTGAAGTGACACCTTATATATGAAGGGGTTACAAGGAGTCTTTGGTCTAAATATGAAGGAATAGATAGAGCTTTGTAACTTGGCACACATACTTTTGTTTCTCTACATAGACACCACGCAAAGTAACATATTTCTGCCACCTCTCTTTGACCTTTAAAAGTCCTTGAGAGAAAAGGACCCAGAATGGGCCCCTAACCAGTCTTCAACAGCTTCAATCGTGTCCTTGTTTTCAGGGAAACAACGTCCTTTGACTTTGAGTATGCCAGGTGGAAACTCTCATCATAACACTGTAGACTTTCTGGTCATACACAGACAAATTCTAATGACATAAATGATAAATGGGACTGTGAAGTAGTGAAGTATTTCTCTGTCTTGTCTGAGAGTGAAGGCAGTGGTAACTTTTTGTCTGATGTTGAGATGTGAACTAGGTACATGTAATCTTTTGTCTGTTTTTATGAGTGAGTGAGGGAAACGTGGAAAGTGTTTGTTGGTGGCCTTCACTCTGACCCAGGATGAGAAATACAATGGTAATGGTGCGTGGATGAGGTTTGACTATTTTATCAACATGGCTGAATGGGATATTTCCATTGTTGTAATGTACGTAAGTGAGTGAGTGATATATTTCTGTAGTCTTATGTACTTGAGTGAGTGATACATTTATGTTGTCTTATGTACTTGAGTGAGTGATACATTTATGTTGTCTTATGTGCATGAGTGAGTGATATATTTCTCTTGTCTGATACCGATGTACACGAGTGAGTGATACATTTATATTGTCTTATGTACATGAGTGAGTGATATATTTCTGTTGTCTTATGTATATGAGTGAGTGAGTGATATATTTCTGTTGTCTTATGTACATGAGTGAGTGATATATTTCTGTTGTCTTATGTATATGAGTGAGTGAGTGATATATTTCTGTTGTCTTATGTACATGGGTGAGTGATTGAGTGATATATTTCCTTTGCCAAGGTGTACATGAGTGAAGGATATATTTTCATTGTGCAGAGGAGCCAATTTTGCGGATGAATCTGAAAATCTCGATTCTGCCTCTCTCTCTCTCTCTGTCTCTGTCTGTCTGTCTGTCTGTCTGTCTGTCTGTCTCTCTCTCTCTCTCTCTCTCTCTGTCTCTCTCTCTCTGTATCTCTCTCTCTCTCTGTATCTCTCTCTCTCTCTCTCTCTCTCTCTCTTTCTCTCGCTCCCCTTCTCTCTTTCTCTCTCTCCTCTCTCTCTCCCCTTCTCCCCCCCTCTATGTGTGTGTGTGTGTGTGTGTGTTTGGCGATGTGCTGTACATGACTGTATATTGGTGCACATGTGTGTGTGTGTGTTTGTATACGTGTCTTTGTATGTGTGTATTATATGTGATATATAGAGAGACAGACAGTTGTAATTTCATTAAACTAATACACAGCAGAGAATTATCTCATTTATTTTTGCTCTTTGTTTTTCTGTTTTTCGTTTGTTTGGGTGTTTTTGTTTCCAACGGTTTTGACCAGATAAATGATACGGTTGATTGGAGGGCACCACTGGTAGGTCCTACTTATTTCAGTTTTCCTGGTTGTCTCCGTCTGTCTATGAATAGGCCTAGCGCAAATTATCGCTCAACAGCAAACCCTATTCGCCTTACAAACTATTTTATTACTCCTGCAGACCGGACTGTATTCTGAAACTATCTCAACTTCCTGGGAAGCATACAGTGCAAGCTGCCATTTTATAAATCACAAGCAAACTGACACTGACAAGATCTTTCGCTGTCTGTGGCTGGGTACCCTTCCCAGGGAGGAAAATTTATGTAAAAAGCCTTTCCCAAGGACGCAGTGTCGGGCCTGATGTTTGAGCCCCCGAGTTTGCTACCTCAGGATTATAATATACTAGCTGGCCCCCCTTTCGATGAAAAGAATTTTTTTTAAATCGAGTCTTTGAGGAACAGTACGCACGGCTAGTGAACGGAAGCCTCACTTGTTTACAATGTCGTCTTAGAAGATGGACTTTCCCAAAATTAGATCTAAACGAAACTAATGAAAAACTGAAAATTAAACTTAGTAGATCTATACGGGTCGCACACTTAAATTAAAATGGTGCTCAGTATTGCGCGACAATGCAGGGTGGTATCGAAAGGAAGTACGACTTGAAATAAAGAAATCTGGCGGATTTTCCAAAATTACAGAGACAGAAGCGTTGGCCTACAAAAACGATCGGCGAAATAAAGAAATTTAGCTTTTTGCAGCAAAACTGTCCCAAAACCGAAAAAAACGAAGGGCGTCATGATCTGGAGAATATTTTAAAGAATCTTTTTGCGAAAACCGCATGTCGATCGATGCAGCCATTAAAAAGCCTTTTGAATAGCAAAATTCGGCCACCACAAATAGATAATAGATGGACGAGTCGGGTAGCCACCGAATAAGCTCTAAGGTGGTTGGCGGGTGCTCTGGTGTGGTTTGCTTCTTCTTTCCTATCAAACATCTATCGTCCTTATCTCTCTTCCTTCTTTTTTGTGTTACTCTCTTGTAAAACATCTATTCTTCGGCACTTACACTTATATGACGTTATTGCGTTGCAAGTGCCGTAAAACTCTTACTAATAGAAAACGAATCAGCTCAGATTGGACCAGAGAAAAGTGTTAATTGTTGTGTCCTCTAACTCTGACCCAAGGAGTTTGCAGTTCTAAACCCCTTGCTCTGACACTATAAGCTGGGTCTGATTTGTGAATAGCGGTGTCTGTGGTGTAGCTGGTAGAGTTGTTACTTGTGTGAAGGACCGACATCACTGCATAAGGGGCATTCCCATAAGCCCTCCGTCCCCTGAAGAAGCACATCTCGAACTCGAAGTGTGTAGATGCTGACGGTTCCAAGCAATGGTTGATTCCTTAGCCTTCTGCTCCTCCCACTAAGTCTTGAACTTCTGCAGGCGCTGGTAGAGTTATAGTTCGCTGTCGCATACAGAAGACGTGAGTTTAATTCCCAAGTGTGAAAGTTTTAATTTATATTTCATATCTCTCCCTCTCTCACAGTCTCTAGAAGACGTGAGTTTGATTCCCGAGTGTGAAAATTTTATTTTATATTTTATATCTCTCCCTCTCTCATAGCCTCTGTCTCTCTTCGTCTCTCTTTCAGTTTGTGCCTGTCTCCCTTTTTCTCTCTCCCTCTCTGTCTTTATTCTTCTATCTCTCTATCTGTTTCTCGGTCTCTCCTTTTTCTCTCCCTCCCTTTCTATCTCTTTGCCCCCCTCCCTCTCTCTCTCTCTCTCTCTGCCTCTCTCTCTCTCTCTCTCTCTGTCTCTCTCTCTCTGTCTCTCTCTCTCTCTTATTTTCTCTCTTTCTCCCCTTTTCATCTCTCCTCCCTTTCATCTTTTCGTCTCTCCGTTTCCCTCCCCCTCCCCCCTCTCTCTTTCTCCCTCTCCCAGTATTATGTCTTCTATAGTTCAGCAGACATCTTGCCCCTTGGAGTGCTCATCATCATCCGGTGCCTCGCCGACTGGCGTGGGCGATCATGGACCTCCACTTCCATCTGTCCTGTGCTGCAGCAATGGTGTTTGTTGTTCTTGCTGCTCCCAGCCATGTTGTCATCTTGTCCAATATCCTTTGCCTCTGTCTGCCTCTGCCTCTCTTTCCATCAAACTTTCCTGTTGTTACAATATTCTCTAATGCTTCTTTTCGCATTGTGTCCGAAGAAATTTGCCTGTCGTTGGAGTGCAACCGTACCCAAAACAATAGAAGGAAATCTATACGACCATAAAATTTACGTCGAATTTTCAGATTTCTTAAAATTTGTTCCCATAAATACCACTTGTTCATGTTTTTCCAAAGTCCCATGTTTTTCCTCACCATGACAACTGTTCGTGATCTAAGGACTCAGAAAAAGGAAGTTACGTTTTGGCTTCGCAATAATTATTTGAGCAAAAGTTGAAAGTGTGAACATGTCGTCTGTAGTATTGGGAAAGAGAACACCATCTGCCGTGTCACTGTCAGGTAGGTGTGTGTGTGTGTGTGTGTGTGTGTGTGTGTGTGTGTGTGTGTGTGTGTGTGTATTTATGTGTGAAAGAGAGAAAGAAAGTGAAAAGTCAAATATAATATCTACGAACACCCCCCCCCTTCTTTCTCTTCCCCTCTCTCCACCCCTCCCCTCTCTTTTCCTAGAGGAAGACGAGGACGAGGAAGAGAAAGACACGCCCTCTGAGGACGGGAGAGGAGATGCTCTCTACAATAAACTGATCTGTGTACAGAGGGCCATTGTCTGGGTCATCACCTCAGCCTTTGGACTCCTGCTCATGAACGCCGCCTACCTGGTGGCCGGAGCTTACGTCTTTTACACGTCAGTTTAGGTCAACTGAATAATCATTTATACATTCACACACACCTGGATGTTGCACTATATATAGCACTTCATAAACCCACAATGGACGAACGTTTTGGTCGTCTCTAACTCTTAAGTCGTAACGTCTTTTACACGTCAGTTTAGGTCAACCGAATAGTTATTTATAAACGCTCCCCTGTATGTTTCACTATATATAGCACTTCATAAACCCACAATGGATGAACGTTTTGGTCGTCTCTAACTCTTAAGTCGTAACATCTTTTACAAGTCAAGTTTAGTTTGCAGTTTTAGTAGAAGTTTTACGGCGCTCGCAACTGTATAAGTTCAAGTGAGCGCCTGAAGATTAGAGGTGTTACAAGAGAGTAACAAACATAAAAAAGAAGAAGGGGAGATAAGGGCGATAGATGTTTGATAGGAAAGACGAAGCAAACCACACCAGAGCACCCGCCAACCACCCACAAGTCAAGTTTGGTGAACTATAGATAGTGTACACCCACCTGATTTCTACAAATTATACGCTGTACCCACAATTAATGGACCTTCTGATCGGCTCTTACGCATTTCACTTTTACAAGTCAGTTTAGGTAAACTATAGATTATAAATGATAAAACTATGCACCCAAAATCTCTACATAAGTATGCCAACAATGGATGCACCTCTCGTCGGGTCTTACGTCTTTAACTCGTCAATTTAGTTCAACTATGTACACCCACGATATGCTTTATATAAACATTAATAACGAGCTGGGTACCTCGTTCGATGAACGGACTCAAAAGAATCGATTGTCAAGTCATTGTGGAACCAGTATGCACTGTTTGTGAACGGAACTCTCACTTGTTTACAATGACGTCTAAGAAGACGAACTTTCCCAAGATTAGATTTAAACGAAACTAATGAAAAACTGAAAATTAGACTACAGTGACTTCAGGCTCCATATTATAACTATAACTGTGCACCATTTAAATGATTTTGAACTACCATTAATTTTGTCAAATTCGAAAGTTCAGTGGTGGGGAAGTTTTAGGCGGCCAAAGTGACAAACTTTCACAAATACAATATGTATAGATATACCCACAATTGAGGAATTTCCGTGTGTGTGTGTGTGTGTGTGTGTGTGTGTGTGTGTGTGTGTGTGTGTGTGCGTGTGCTATGTAACATTGTTATAAATCTCTCAGCCCGGGTTGGCCATGGCAGTCAGGTTCGAAGAGCCCGCATCCCAAAGCATCTAAATTGAAACATTAACAGTTAAAATTACAAATTGTGATGATGACAATTATAATTATAGCCATTTTTTTCTCACTCTTTCCAATTTTCTATTTAAAAAAACAACAAATGACCCAAACGGTGTGTAAAACCCCCTTTCCACATGAATTTATGCATCTAAATCCTATTTCACCAGCTAGTTCGATCAACAAGTATGATCCACGGCCACAGTGGTTGTCTTTTTGTGTATCGATATATATGTGTTCTTTAGTCAGATTACGGGTGCCCATAATGTGTACCTGAAAGGGTTATTATACACTGAATGGGCCTGTATCCGTGAAACGTGTCATTGTGAAAGCTGTCATAATATTTTTTAAAAAGTTTTATTATTACTATCATTATAATATTATGTATCATCATAATGATCATCACCATTATCCTTCATAGTTCTTATACTACTACTACTACTACTACTACTACTACTACTACTACTACTACTACTACTACTACTACTACTACTACTACTACTACTACTACTACTGTTAATAAAAAATAATCATCATAATATTGTTGTGATTATTCTGACTCCATGGCGTGACAGAGTGGAGGCCCCCCGCGAGACTTTGGTGCAGAACACTTTGGAGAACGACCTTGACCTCCTGGCCGTCCGACTGTCCACGCTGGGCACGCAGGATATGGACAACGCCAGTCTACTGCTGGGGACGTATGAGGACTCGTTAGGTGAGCCCGGCGGTTGGAGGGTGTGTCTAGGTCAAGTGGGTGGTTGGAGGGTGCTACTTGTGTTACTTATGTGAAGGACCGACATCATTGCACAAGGGGCATCCCCATAAGCGCTCCGTCCCCCGAAGAAGCACATCTCGAAGTGTGTAGATGCTGACGGTTCCAAGCAATGGTTGATTCCGTAGCCTTCTACTCCTCTCACTAAGTCTTGATCTTCTGCAGGCGCCCAATCTGATTCCAAGTTCACGAAGTTGCTCAAAATGATGGTATTCCGTTTCTTCTTGTTCTTTTTCCCGTTTTTCCCTGACTGAGCCACAATTTCAGGTTTGTCGTCAGGGCACAGCTTTCCTTCAGGTTTTGCTTTCCCAGCGAGCTCATCAGCCCGCTCATTGCCCTTGACTCCAGCATGGCCCGGGGTGAAGATCCAGGTGCTCTTTTTCAGTGCCGTCTTCTTCAGGAGCTCTGTCCATTCAGCTGTAACCGTAAGGTTCCCACTTTAAATCTTCCCCAGAGTGCTCTGAGAGTATTACAAAGATCACATGTACTTCTCAGTTGTTGTAACCCATTTGAGAGCCTGAGTGATTGCCTCAATCTCCATTCTCATGCTAGATGTTGTCATATCGTATGCTCTCTGCTGTTCCGGCACCAACCTGCCACCCCCTCTTGCTGAGAAGCCCCATCCAGATTTTGCTCCTCGTTTAACAGATCCATTCGAGTATACAACCACATTTCCATGCCGTGAGTTGTCTTCAGTCAGTTGTCCTATCCTATCTCAGCATCTGTCGCCCCCTGCGGACACTCTTTATATTCTCTGTTCAGTGACATCACTACCTTCCCAAAATCTGCCTGCTGTCTCTTGTTCATCTTTATCCATTCTTCACGGTTGGAGGGTGTGTCTTGGCCAAGTGGGTGGTTGGAGGGTGTGTCTAGATCAGCTGGGTGGTTAAAGGGTGTCTCTTAGTGAGGGAGGTTAAGAGGGTGTCTCTCTTTGAAGGGGGCGGTTAGAGGGTGTCTCTAGGTGAGGGAGGTTAGAGGGTGTCTCTAAGTGAGGGAGGTTAGAGGGTGTCTCTAAGTGAGGAAGGTTAGAGGGTGTCTCTAGGTGAGGGAGATTAGAGGGTGTCTCTAAGTGAGGGAGGTTAGAGGGTGTCTCTAAGTGAGGGTGGTTAGAGGTGTCTCTTAGTGAGGGAGGTTAGAGGGTGTCTCTCTTTGAAGGGGGCGGTTATAGGGTGTCTTTAGGTGAGGGGGGTTAGAGGGTGTCTCTAAGTGAGGGAGGTTAGAGGGTGTCTCTAAGTGAGGAAGGTTAGAGGGTGTCTCTAGGTGAGGGAGATTAGAGGGTGTCTCTAAGTGAGGGAGGTTAGAGGGTGTCTCTAAGTGAGGAAGGTTAGAGGGTGTCTCTAGGTGAGGGAGGTTAGAGGGTGTCTCTAAGTGAGGGAGGTTAGAGAGTATCTCTAGGTGAGGGAGTTTAAGGGGTGTCTACAGGTGAGGGTGGATAGAGGGTATCTCTGGGTAAGGGGGTGGTTGGAGGGCGTCTCTATGTTAGCTGGGTGGTCAGATGGTGTCTTTAGACGAGGGATGTTAGAGGGTGTCTCTGGGTTAGGAGGTGGTTAGAGGGTGTCTTTAGGCGAGGGAGGTTAGAGGATGTCTCTAGGTGAGCTGGGTGGTTAGAGGGTGTCTCTATGTGATGGAGGTTAGAGGGTGTCTATTGACGGGAGTTTATGATGACTTTTATTTTCATAGGTGAGCTGGATGTAAAAGGATATCCATTACTGCATGTATAGTTTGTGATTGATTGGAGGGTGTCCATTACCATGTGTTTGGTTTATGGGTGGTTCGTGGGTGTCTCGTACTGGCTGAGGGTTTTAAGTTGTAGATATGTTAACGCTGTCATCGACACTCTTTTGATCATTTTGGGGGGCGGGCTGTTTAGACGCTGGATGTCAGGACCAACCCGGGACAACAGGGATTCAGCGTCACAGGGAGAGCGTCCAAGGGAGAATGATACAGTTACTCGAGCAGGAATTGAGCTCAGGTCTATTGCGTGCAACGATAAAGCAGCTAATCACTGCACCAAAGGCATCAAGGGCCTGAGCGGTTAAAGAGGAAAAAAGGGCGTGTGTGGGGGGGGGGGGGGTGTGGGTCATTTACTATACTGAATGGGCGATGTGTGTGTGGGGGGGGGGAGGGGGGGTAGATCATTTACCATTTACTGATTGGGCGATTAGAGGGTTGCCCTCAAGCTATTGGCTGATGGGTTAGATATCGTGTTATTTGAGTTGATGGTTGTTCGTCAAAAATGTATTTCAAAACCCCCAATTGTTTGTACTCATATAATAACTTCAGCTACCAGTACATATACCATTTGTGAGGCAGCGTGGTGGAATCAGGCTCTCGTCAAAATAATCAAAATGAAGAAACTTGCATTTTTCCGCAGGTTTGTGAATTTTTATCAGATTTTTGTTTTTTGGCTCAACACCTTTTATGCCCGTTAAAGAACTCATTTCTGTGTGGATTTTTCTGAAAAAACGTTTATTAAAGGCACAAAAAATGGAAATTTTCAGTTACCACGGACTCTTAAGCTAAGGAAATAACCAATCTTTGGCTGCCATTTTCTCACTAATTTTTTCTTTGAAAACAGGTGACCCCCACCTCTTTCATTCGCAAATATCCCCACTTGTATTCAAGATAAATAAACAATTTTTTTTCATCTAAATAAAGACAAGT